TACAGGGTGCCTAGCACTCCTCAAAAAATAGTTCAAGAACAAAATTATCTTACTTATCAATATAAAGATAAAATTGCTCATTGAGGAAAAGGTTAGATTTTTAATAACAAAAACAATTATTTTGAAGAATGTTGAATATATCTTTCATTATGAGCAAAAACTTATAAGAAAGCAATATGAATTGAACTTCATTTCATAGGGCTACAACACACACATTGCATGTGATATAGTTAATTGGGTTTTAGATTTGGGAGTATGATTCAATATATGGACTTGAATAAAAATATTATAGTTTAGAACTTTTATTTTAAAATTAGACATATTTTATAAATATTATATGGAAACTAGCATATAGCATTACGTGGCTTGTAATCAACTTAAATGAAAATATATGTGCGGATCTTTATGGTTTGCTTTAATTTTTAATTAGGTCTTTATAATTTTATTTGTTGGAATTGAACTCTTATACTTTCAAACCTTAAACCTGTTAGTCCTTTCATGATTTGACACCATTAGTGATGCTGATGACATTGCCAAGCTGGATTAAATGTGACAAGGTGGGATGGTGGGTTGGAATAAAATTTCTGTCAATAAAATTAAATGGATTTTCATTTTCCCCCAACTTCATTGTTCTTCATTGCGTGAAACTGACTGCAGCTACGATTAGGGCAGTACAGGACGATCAATGATGCGATGGCAGCCGAGAAGAATAAAAGAGAGAATAGATTCGTGACGGTGAAAACGAAACCATAGTCTCCGACTCCGGGAAAAAAAAAAAAAAAATTGACGGCGTAGGCACTTTTGACGCTGCCACTTGTAATTTGGTAAGCAAAAGAAACTTCTCATTTTAATTTCTCGAGTTTGAATGTCTCTCTTTCATCAATTGAATGTGACAATATATATATATATTTGCACCGATGAGCGGGAAGGGATTCGTGGCTAGAGACATAGATTTCATCGACACCATAGGTCCGGCCAAAACACCAAGCAGTGGCCATACGATCTGGATCAGACCGTTCAGTCTTCTACTCCAGTCGAAGGCTCTCACAGTGATAAATTTTATTTTAGAGATGACCAAACACAAAGTATGTACATCTTTTTTAATAAAAATTTAAATTTTAATTTATTGTATTATGAGGACTTAACCTCTTTCATTATACCCCACCAGTTGGTGAAAGTCAAATTTTTTTTTAGTATTGCAATACCTACTTTGAAATAGATAGCTAGTTAGAAAATTAAACATTGACGACAAAATAATACTCTACAGGTCAACAATGTTCGGTCTTGCGGTCAATGGCCTCAGGGATATTTTTTTTTTTTCTCCCCATCTCTTCATTTTTTCTTGTTCAATAAGGTCTCCGTTCTCACAACTTTCGTAGGTGTCAAATTTTTTTTTTTTAGAGTATTGCGATAGCTACTTTGAAAGAGATAGCTAGTTAGAAAATTAAACATTGACAACAAAATAATACTATACAGGTCAACAACGTTTGGTCTTGCAGTTAATGGTCTCAGGGATACATTTTTTTTCTCCTCATCTCTCCTCCTTTTCTTGTTCAATAAGGTCAATATTCTTCATTCTTACAACTTATGTAGGTAATTAACTACATCATGTATATGTTAGCAGATAACATGTACATCTCTTTCAATAAAAATTTAGACTTTGGTTTATCATATTATGAGGACTTAGCCTCTTTCGTTATGCCCCACCCGTTGGTGAAAGTCAATTTTTTTCAGTATTGCAATACCTACTTTGAAAGAAATAGCTAGTTAGAAAATTAAACATTGACAACAAAATAATACTCTACAGGTCAACAACGCTTGGTCTTGCAGCCAATGGCCTCAGGGATACATTTTTTTCCCTCCTCATCTTTCCATTTGTTCTTATTCAAGAAGGTCAATTTTCTCCTTTCTTACAACTTTCGTAGGTAATTAACTATGTTATGTATATAATAGCAGATAATAGGGGGGCTGGCGAAATTCTACGAACAACTGTTCCTACGTATGTTCTCACTGTATTTCAAGGTATGATTTTCAAAGAGTGAAACTCATGCTAAAATTCATTTATTTAAAAAAAAAAAATTCTCAGTTCTCACTGGCTTTTATGCCTATAAACTTCCATTTGGGCCAATTAAATGGGATCCACCAAACAAGCCGTATCAACACAACAGTCGGGCCAGTCCAGATCAACTTGATGGCCCAATGTACAAAATTTCCAATCGATCAACGAAGGTTGTAAACCAGATCGACATGGTGCTTGGAGAATAACTTTTAAATTCCAGATTTGTTGAAGAGATACTTGTGAGTCTAGACGATGAAAGATCAAAAATTTCATCAATTGAGAATTCAAAAGATCTTGCAAAGTTGTCCACAAAACGTTCCAGGCCAACCAGAAAGAGAAGATTCAAGCAACCAACGATGGCAAGAAATTTGATACTTCTGCTGACTTTATTAATAAAAGGGTAAATGAGCAAAAATACTTAAAAAATTGTCAGGAATATTCATTAACCTAAAATAAGGAAAAGTGCATGAATGTCCATAAAATTTATTTTTTTACTGTATTTGTGAGCAAACCGTTATGTTAACCGTTATGTTGTGGATCTAAAATTTAACTTGTTAATAACAAATGTACTGAAAAAATAACTCTATGAACACTCTTACACTTTTCCTTTCTTTAGGTTACTAGATGTTCCTAATTGATGGTGTTAATAAAAATCAAGAGCTTCATGATCATTTAGAATCTGGACTGAAGTTGTCTTCAAGTCGGTAAACAGCCATGCATGGAGAAGGGAACAGAAAATCCGAGCTAGATTATCACAAAGCCAAAGTAGCACAGAAAATTTTCACATCTAAACTGATGGTATTACAAGCCTAAAAGGCTGCAGTTTCAGCAAGTAATAAAAAAGCTTACTCACAAATATCAAATGTAAAAATAGACAACTAGTCAATCATTAAAGAAAATGCAATGCACTAATTTTAATGTGTACATGTAATGGATCAGTTATCTACCATCCAGATTAGAAATGGTTACATAATTTGTGGAATAACGCTTTCGCCTGATGTTATGAAACTCTGACTCTTCCTCAACGTCACTGACGAAATATATGCCTTAGCGATGGCATCTCCATTCTAATACATGTATGAAATATGCTATTTCAGGTGCGATTAACTTTTGCAAGTATACTGGGACAGTAAAGGAGGCTTGAAATAATAAATAGCAGAATTTTCAAGGAAGTGACATATCCACAAGACAACTGAGAGTGATTGATATTAATCTTTGGAAATAGTTTTGAAACCCTTCGAATAAAAGGGGAGTTTATAATAAAGCTACTCCAGAGTGTAAAGGCATAGAGTATGAATGGAAAACATAATAATACTGTATTCATTGGTATTTCAAGATAGCTACAGGGAGCGCAATTGTCAGCAATGTATAAACTCCCTTTTGTATTTAAAAAAAAAACTGTAATGTACAATTTTAAAAAAATTAATTAACTATAATAATTATGTTTTAAAATAAAAAAATAAATTAAAATACTCTGTATTAATTAATGTAAGCATATATTAATTATCTTTTTAATATAAATAATGAGAAGTAATTTAAAAAATATATAATAAATATTTGTTGAAGTGGGTCATTTTTTTTATAAAATAGTATATAAGTTAAAAGTGATAATTTTAAGGGCTGCGACGTCCAAGTGATAAAGGAATAGGACACGTAGCTCTAGCTTTACAGTATTTTAGGCAAGCAGGTAAGACAAATATCAAGAGAGTCAGCCCTTGACAGCAGTGTGGGAACTATTGACATTGGGCTTGGTCTTGTTGGGCTTCATATTGTTTTGCGCTGAGTTTTATCTTCAATACAGAGTACTGTACTGTTTGATTAATCAAGGTTGTAAAAGTGAAACTAAAAGCTCTGCTTGGAGAAGAGCTTTCAGATTCCAGAATTTTCTGAAGATGGGACTCAACATGAAAGATATTTTCTATCGGGAAAATATAAAGAAATTGATTATGATTTTTTCTCTTTAAAAATATGGTACATTGGAGAATAGAATATCATCATAGTTGGGAAGTAGGACTCATTTGGTTGTTAAAAAAGATGTGAGTTGAATGGATGAAAAAATTAAAATAAAAATAAACTAAATCACATTTCCTTTCATGATAAATATGATAAAATTTAATATTATATATTATAAATATAAGAATCATTACACTTTTCAAAAACTTTATAAATTATAATTTTCATCTCCATAAATTAAATTACCATTCTTTCCTTATAAGTATGGTTCACACATTTTCTTTACATTTTGATCATCTTATTTTTATTTTTTTTTAATTCCTTTCATTACTTTCTAGCAAGACCTTAGGCTTTACAAATACTATTCGAATTCAATATCAAGGAAGATCTCTGGCAGAAATATGCATAATTATTGTTAATTAAGTAACACAACGTTAGTTATGTCAACAAATGAAAGAAAAGATGATTAAACTCATACTTTCCTGATAGTAAATAATTGTTGATACGAGATGATCGAGACGAATCTCTTATAATTCATAAGCTATAAAAACCCTTCATATAAACTTGATCCAAATTAATACTATCTATAAGATTAAAATCTGAATCAAATATTCTTCAAATATTTTTCTTTGTCATTCCAGCAAAAGTCTTGTTCGTGATTCCATCATGTTCCCCTTGGTTAACAAAATCAAGGGCCTTTGTTACGGTCAGGGAATATGCAGGCACGGGAAAAGGGTTGAATGCGTGCTTACAAAGTTATGGTGATGAGTTCGAAGATAGTTACAATGTATCAGACTCTTGTTGCATGCATGGATTGGCCTGCATGCATTCTGATCCTAAGGATTAACGACATTAAGCAAACAAAAACACACCACAAGCTAAGGTCAAATTTCCATATTCATTCATTCTTTTCAGTATCCAAATGTGTTGCAGCAGAGGCAGAGCCATACTTGTCTTCATAACATTTCATTCACACTTCACAACAGCCATGCTCATAGGTGAAGTGCTAAGTTTTGATTTGGTCCCTGACTTTATTCTGTACTCTCCAACAATGATTTACAAACTGCATTTGGTCTCTTATTTTGACGAGTACTTCTTGGGAATCACTAAACCTCAACAAATCTTCTGGATTGCCAACCGAGACGATCCCCTTGACCTCACCAAGAGACCGAGGCTTATAATCGATGAGTATGGCAACAACACAATTGTTTACCATCTAGATCCCGCCATTACTATTCCTATATACTCTTTCTCAACTTCCAACGCACAACAAATCATCAGAGCTAGCCTCATTTTAAAGGATAATGGTTTCTTGCAGCTTGTTCAGAAGAATGAAACTGGACCTGACACAGTGCTATGGGACAGTTTTGATCACCCTAATAACGTTATCCCTAGAGGGATAAGATTGGGATTAGACAGAGTAACAGGGAAGAAACGGAACATAACGTCATGGGCATCACCAGGAAGCCCAGCTTCTGGTTCATTTACTTTAGGAATGGACGTGGACAACAACACCATGCAATTGGTTATATGGTGGCAAGGAAGCGTGTACTGGAAAAGTTGGCCCATGACGCAATGGCATAATAGGACAACTGAAGCAGAAGGATTTCGTAGTCACTATTACTCGAGATATTCAGATCTCTTATTTCTGAACGAAACAAATGGAAGAGAAATCAATGTGATATTTGCAGGGACGTTGTCCGGTGATAATAACAATGATAATAATACGAATTTCATTGGTTTGAATCCAAGGGGTGAACTTTATGGAGCAGTTTCTGTGTCGTGCAATGGTGAGAACCCAGAACATTTTGCGGGATGTAACCCTCCCAAGCCTCCGAGTTGCAGACACCCACATGCTTACGTGTCATTTGTCAACAATCGAACCGCTCGTATGTCAGAAGAAGGGTTCAGGATTGAAAACACACAGACTCTGTAAGATTGTGGCGTCAAGTGCATGATGAATTGCTCCTGTGTCTTTTATTCTTCTTCAAACGATGATGGAATTGGCTGTCAGATATGGGACCATAGCTCTGTCTCTAAGGAATCTCCGGATGGGCCTCAATTATTCTTCACTCAAGATAATCCACAAGACAATATTGGAGATCATACACAGCTTGGGACAGCAAAAGTCCCCCCCCCCCAGAATACTCTTTTTTTTTTTTTTTGGTGACATATAACGAAGGTTTATGTCGTCCAATGCAGAAGAATCTCAAAATATGTCGTTGATAATTGGTGTGGCTGGAGGATCCGTCTTGACAATTATCATGTCCTTATACACATGCTATTTTTTTTTTTGGTGGAAAAAACGTAGAATAGAAGGTAAGATTTTGTGTAATGATAACGTTATTTACATAGTGCCTTTTGATCAGGACCGTTTTTTGGTTTTTCCCACTTATAAATCAAATGCTTGATCTAGTGGAAAAGAGATTGAGACAGGCCAAGTTATTGCATGAAATTGGAGATACTGCCATACCCTTCACTATAAATGGTAAAAGGAAATCCAATGAAAGCGATAAAACAGGCCAAGAGATTCATAAATTCAGCTTTGAAAGCATTGCCACGGCAACATGTAACTTCTTGTCAACAAATAAGCTAGGTGAGGGTGACTTTGGACCTGTCTACAAGGTAATAGCTAATTACTTTCTACCTTACGTACATGTGACTATAGTAATTAATTTGTAATAATAGATATGAAAGGAGCTATGAGAGTAATTAAACAGCTACAGGAAGAACGAACTCAAGATCAATGCTTGAAAATTGATTTTCCATCTGACCTCAATCCATTTTCATTTTACAAGAATATATATATACATACATATATATATATATATATATATATATTCAAAGATGTTGATCTATGAATATCTGCCCAATAAAAGCTTGGATTTCTACCTTTTTGGTATGCAATTTTTTTCCCGTTAAATTCTAGTAGCGCTTTTCTTTATATATTAAGATGTATATACCACGACCTATTTATTTAAATTACATTGGTATAGATTCCAATAATACGGAGCTTTATTGGATTGGAAGACAAGGCTTGATGTTATTAAAGGTATTGCTCAAGGACTTGTTTATTTACATAAATATTCAAGATTAAAAGTGATTCATTGAGATTTGAAGTCAAGCAATATTTTACTTGATCATGAGATACATTCAAAAATCTCTTCTTTTTTTTTTTGAAATTACAAGACAAGCCTAAGCTTAGAAATTCCTAACACTAGAGGAAAAGCAAACAAAACAGATTACACATTTCTATTCAAATGATAGAAATAAAGACAACCTAACAAGGGTATATTCAAAAGGAAAGCGATCTGTCACATTATTGCATTCAAAAATCTCCGATTTTGGCTAAGGAAGAATATTTGAATTGAGAGAATCAGAAGAAGAGAATACAAATAGAGTGATTAGAGCATAGTAAGTCTAATTCTTTCTTTCTTTCTTTGTAATTTCTGGTTATTTAAAACACTTAAAGGTTTGAAAGTTTAACTTTTTATAATTAATTATCATTTCAGTCGTTGCATGTCTTCAGAATGTGCTGTCAACGGTATTGTCTCAATGAAAGCTGATATTTTTACTTTCAAAGTAGTATTGCTTGAAATTGTTAGTGGCCAGAAGAACACAAATTATGTGGATCGTTGTTATGATTGCCTCAATCTTATAGGATATGTACGTATTATATAATACACACACTCATACTTTCACCGAATTTGCATATCGATTGTAATGATATATTATTGTGAATATGAACATGTGTGTCAGTCATGGAAGTTGTGGAATGAAGGAAGAGCATTACATCTAATAGATCCCTTACTAAGCGGAACGCAGAATCCCAATGAAATATTGAGATGTGTTCATATTGGCCTCTTGTATATGCAGGATCAAGCCGAGGATAGACCCAACATGTCAGAAGTGGTTTTTTTTCTGTCAAATGACACAATTTTACTTGTTGAACCTAAACAACCTGTATTCTTCACAACTGCAGCAGAAAAGAAGACCTCATTGGCTAATAATATTAAAGGACAAAATTGTTCTATTTATGATGCAATCGTTTCAGATATAGACGGAAGATAAATGCTGTATATAAAACTTCTCCTTAATTAAACTTTTTAGTAATTATACTATACGCGTTGAATTGAAAGTATTTGATAATAAAGGACTTGGCTCACTTTTTGGAGCTTATTTCTCTTTTCTTACCCCTCTGATCTCTTGTCCTTCCTCCCCAAAGAATATACATTTTGAAAGAAAAAGAAGCAATCAAAGAAAAAGGTGAATTAATATAATTATAAAATGTGCGTCGGATACACCTTTCTGTTTCATTAAATTAAAGCTTTTTTCAACCGTGTAAGTATATTAGTGGAAAGAATTTAAATTTTATTATAACAATATATCATTAAACATACGACACACGTCTACCGAGAGCCAAAGATTTAGAAATGAGAGGGCCAAAAATAAAGGTGTGTATTAATACAAATTAAACAACTTAATTTGCTGGATCAAAATGGACTTTGAGTAAAATTGATGCTGCAAATTTACTTTTGACAAAATTAATAATTTTTCTATATATGATGTGATTTATGTTGTTTTAATATTTGTTTTCTCAAAAGTGTTTTTTGAGAAAAATGAAAAATACCTAACTAGTTATTGTTTTAGTAATTGTGTGTGTGTGTGAAAGAAGAAAGTTCACATTAACTAAATAAAGAGAGCTCTTAGTGTATAAATATTAAAGAATGAAATGAACTTGGAGGATAAATGAAGACATTATGAATGAAACAGGTCAATTCAAAACAATCATAGTTAAAAATAGCCAATTCTAAATGGATTTTGTTAATCAATTTTCATTACACATTTGTCCCAACGGCTCCAGACATTTGGTTAATGACATTTTATGTTTGTGTAACCAAGGCTTAATGCTATTTAATTCGGTGATTATGAGCCCAATGTTCATGTCTATGGTTTTGGCCTACGATAATTTTTTTCTCTCATAATGTCTTGTAAAAAAGGATGTATTTTTTCCTAAAAATTTTGTTTGATTGACTTTAATGTGAATATAATGGAATAATAGGTGACCTCACAACTCGTTCTCGACATACTTGTGTAACACCCTCAAATTTACAAACCAATTTTTCGCAAGTTATTAATTCAAGAAATCATTTTTTTTTTTTCATTGAACCCTTATCATACCCTTATCATGGTAGAAAAATTTCTACCATGATACATCCAAGACAATGTACCACAGGTCTTAAAATATCTCAAAAAGCAATTAGAACCATGAGGGACAGACATGATCCTCATAGCATGTTATTTAAATTAGGTCATGAATCAAAAGGGACAGACATAATCCTCTTGGACATATAAATGCATTTAATAAAAAGGATTAGAGTTTACATGCTCCATAGACAAGATATGTCCTAAGTTGGCACAAGATACATTGTATAATCCAAAATAAGAGGCAACGTAAAAGATGGTGTCTCATACACCATAATTACACCTCTGGTGCTTTCTCGGCCGGATTCGCTCCTGTAAAAATATTAACCACGGGGAATGAGACTTAAAAGTCTCAGTAACCAAAAATTAATATGTAATGATGCATGCGGATGTAACTAATCATGCGATTGCTAAGTGGGCACACAAAACATTTAACCGAACAATATTTTCAAACAAACCGAACAAGTATTTAATTGCATGACTGCACCTTATATCCTCCTTTCACCATGCTCGGACGCCAAATCACCCGGCCAAAGGTGAGTTGGACCAAGCGACACGCCACTCATTGGGTCCAATGAGGGCTTACCACGTGGTAATAATTAACCGAACAGAAATTCCCATTAACACCATACATTAAAATACCCTGACAAGTCATGCATCATTCAAATATCCAAACAGGAATATATCCGAACAATAATATCTCATCATGATAAACAAAAATAAATTTTTAACCCACTTGGCAATAATTTCAAACAAGTATATACAGTATTTATTTTCAATAATTCATAATTTTTCCAAACAACAAAACAACACATAACCATTCACAAACACACTCATCACAACACATTAATAATGGTTACCTTGTGTCTTGAATAACAAGTTCCCCTTCACAACTCCTTTTTCACCACTATCTTTGTCAATATAATCTACATAATTATTTCACAATACTATATATTAATTTTACATTAAAATAAATAACTCTAATTTAAAGAGTTAGAAAGTCTTAAATCTATAGTCCATATTAACACTAATTTAAGATTTATGCCTTATTTAACTTCCCAAATTCTTTTCTAAAATTCTCGTACCCTAATGAACTATTTTTTTTTATCCTCAATTCACTTCTAGTATCGCAATTTCATCCTTCTACATTCTAAAAATTCATCTAAAAATAAATTAAAAATTTTAGAATTATCCTGAAGCCTCAAATCACCTTTCTATAACCTCAAAAATACCTATTCATACTTAAATAAATATTTAATAATCATAGATTTATCCCTACATCTCAGATTCCACATAAATTCAACCATATAGATCTAGATTTTAACTCAAAAATTCTTAAACATGAGTTTCAACCTTAAGAAAATATTCTATAATATTTACTATATCCCTAAGAATTTTAACCTATATTTTTAATCCATCATATCATCAGATTAACTATCCTATAGAAAAATCCTAATCAAAATATTTACTCTATCCTACAAAATAATCATATCACTAGAAAGCTAATATTATTTAGAAAATAACTATAAAATTAATTTTGTAATTAAATAAATTTTTAAATGCTAATCTAAACAGGAAAGTTAGAACATACCTGAAGAAAAAAGAAAATAATCCCCCCTTGCGAGAAAACGCCGAGCAACGTGAGAGGAAGAGAGAAAAATAATATAAAAATGGGATTGTGAGTCCCAAAATTATAAAAAAAAAACTATAGGTTTGAATTTAATTATTCAAACCTTTGGGCCCAAAGTTGCAATTTTCTCTAAATTGCATCTTAGCCTCTCATGCTTCCTAATGCACACACCCCCTCCTTTTTATACATGAAGGCACCTCTTCTCTTCCCTCATCTAACCAATGTGGGACTTAGAAACAACAACCTTCCACCCCCCCTTTTTTTTGTTCCTTCTACCTTCTCTTTTTTTTTTTAACACACACATAAAAAAAATTATTTATGTATTATATCTTAACTAAATATTGCTTATGTGTTTTAAATTTAAATTTTTAAATTCATAATTAAATACCTAATCATAATATTATTTCTAAATAACCTCAAATAATATAAATTCCTATTATTATCATTTTTTTTCTCAAAACCTAAATTCCACAATTTCTTTATTATATAAAAATCAGGATGTTACAATTCTCCCCTCCTTTTAGAAATTTTGTCCTCAAAATTTAATAGATAAGCTTAGAAACTATGTACCTAAGCAAATAAATGTGGATAATCTCGCCTCATACTCTCCTCGGTCTCCCAAGTAGCATCACCTAGGGCTCCACCCTTCCAAATCACCTTCACGAGTCGGATGGTCTTATTGCGTAGTTGTTTGTCCTTAAAGTCCTCAATTCGCTCCGGTTCGGATCTAAAGGTCAAATTCTCCCTCAATTCTACTTCTTCAGGTTCAATAACATGGGAGGGATCCGGGTTGTACTTCTTCAACTGTGATACGTGGAACACATTATGGATACCTGCAATCTGTGGAGGTAATGCAACTCTATATGCAGTAGATCCAATTCGCTCCAAGATCTCATACGGGCCCATAAATCTAGGTGTCAATTTCTTTGCCTTAATGGATCTACCAATGCCTGTCACTGGAGAAACCTTCAAAAATACATGATCTCCTACTTCAAACTCTAACGGCCGTCTCCTCTTATCAGCATAGCTCTTCTGTCGGCTCTGAGCGGTTAGCAATTTTTGCTTAATCATTGCAATCTTCTGGGTGGTTTGCTCTACAATTTCTGGACCAATGATACTCCTCTCACTTAATTCTGTCCAACATAAAGGCGATCTACACTTCCTTCCATACAAGGCCTCATAAGGCGCCATCCCAATACTAGAATGATAGCTGTTATTATAAGCAAATTCAGCTAATGGCAAATGATTATCCCAACTACCTGGTAGTTCAATGGCACAAGCTCTCAACATGTCCTCCAAAGTCTGGATCGTCCTCTCTGTTTGTCCATCTGTTTGGGGGTGGTATGCGGTGCTAAAACTCAGTCTGGTACCCATAGCCTTCTGTAGCGCACCCCAAAAGTTTGAAGTGAACCTTGGGTCACGATCTGACACAATTCTAGAGGGTATACCATGAAGTCTAACTATCTCCTTAATGTATATCTCAGCAAATTTCTCTAATGTAGAGGTAAACTTGATCGCCAAAAAGTGAGCTGATTTGGTGAGTCGGTCTACTATCACCCAAATAGCATCCTTACTCGAGGGTGTTCTTGGCAGTCCAGTGATGAAATCCATAGAAATATCATCCCATTTCCACTTTGGAATATCTAACGGTTGCAGTGTTCCAGCTGGCTTCTGATGTTCTATCTTTATCTTCTGACACGTTAAACATCTAGAAACAAATTCAGTTACATCTTTCTTCATTCCTGGCCACCACCAACCTCGCTTCAAATCATGGTACATTTTAGTTATACCGGGATGAATTGTATATTTGCTCCTATGAGCTTCTTCTAAAAGGATATTCCTCAATCTTGGATCATTAGGTACACAAACTCTACCTTTATACTTCATCACTGTGTCCTCAAGATGGTAAAATTTGGGGCCTTACCTACCACTATCTCCTTCCTTATATTCCTTAAGTAGTCATCACTTTGCTGTGAGACTCTGAGATCTTCCCAGAATTTGCTCTCAAAGTCTGCTACCTGGAGTGCGGCCATTTGATGTTCAATCACATCTACTGGAACATCATGAAAACTGTTCCATAAATGATATTCATGAACCATCAAATGTGCAGCATGAATAGTCTTTCTACTTAAGGCATCAGCTACCACGTTAGCCTTACCCGGATGGTAATGTAATTCAAAGTCATAATCCTTTAGAAATTCCATCCATCGTCGCTGCCTCATATTAAGCTCTTTTTGATCAAATAAATACTTCAGGCTCTTATGGTCACTGAAGATTTGAAACTTAGATCCATACAAGTAGTGTCTCCATATCTTTAGAGCAAACACAACTGCAGCTAACTCCAAATCATGAGTAGGGTAATTTTCCTCGTGTGGTCTCAACTGTCTGGAGGAATAGGCAACCACTCGGTCATTTTGCATCAAAACACATCCTAAACCCTTTAAAGAAGCATCAGTGTACAGAGTGTACGGCACCACAGGGTCAGGAATAGTCAATACTGGAGTAGTGGTTAACCTCTTTTTCAATTCTTGGAAAGCAGCTTCACATTTGTCAGTCCAAATAAATGGGGCATCCTTCTTAGTTAGCTTAGTTAAGGGCATCGCAATTTGCGAAAATCCCTTAATAAAGCGACGATAATAACCTGCTAGACCTAAAAAGCTTCGTATCTCTGTAACAGATTTTGGCTGTTCCCACTTCATCACTGCATCAATCTTGCTAGGATCCACCGCAACTCCATCTCTGGACACAACATGGCCCAAAAACTTTACTTCTTGGAGCCAAAATTCACACTTGCTTAATTTGGCATAAAGCTTATGTTCCCTCAAAACTTGCAAGACGATTCTTAAATGTTCACCATGAGCCTCCTCATCCTTTGAATAAATAAGAATGTCATCAATAAACACTACTACAAACTTATCTAAATAGGGTCGAAAGATCCTATTCATGTAATCCATGAATACCGCAGGAGCATTCGTAAGTCCAAACGGCATCACCATGAATTCATAATGCCCATATCTCGTCCGAAATGCTGTCTTAGGTATATCCTCTGCTCTCACTCTCAATTGGTGGTACCCTGACCTTAAGTCAATCTTTGAGAAAACTGCGGATCCCACAAGCTGATCCAGCAAATCATCGATTCTCGGAAGTGGATATTTGTTCTTGATGGTTACTTTGTTCAATTGTCTATAATCAATGCACAATCGGAGGCTTCCGTCCTTCTTCTTTACAAAAAGGACTGGAGATCCCCAAGGTGAAACACTCGGTCTGATGAAACCCTTCTCAAGTAGCTCTTCGATTTGCTTTTTCAGTTCCGCTAACTCTGAAGGGGACATCCGATAAGGAGCCTTAGAAATTGGCCCTGTACCGGGTACCAATTCAATTGAGAACTCTACCTCGCGCTTTGGGGGTAAACCGGAGACTTCGTCTGGAAATACATCCGCAAATTCTTTGACAATTGGGATATTCTTCACGCCTTCATCAATCTTAGCTTGGATAGAGAAGAAAACCATGTAGGCCTGGCAACCCTTCTTCATACATCTATCAACTTGCGCCGCCGACAAGAAAACATGATCTTGAGTCTCGACTGGGGTCACCGACAAAGAAGATAAAGACACACTCCTCTCTCTACAATCTAGGATAGCACCATTTGCAGCCATCCAATTCATTCCCACAATTACATCCATACCTCTCAGTGGTAGGATAATTAAGTCCATAGTTGTTTTCCTATTTTTAAACTCGACTACTAGGTTAAGGCATGCCTTAGCGGTCCTCACAGATTCTCCCGCAGGAGTAGACACATTCATATCAAAGGTAAAATACACACAGGCAAATCAAGGTTCTTTACACAAGTTTCAGAAATAAAAGAGTGTGTAGCACCCGAATCAAATAGTGCAACAATATCATGATGAAGGATTTTGATGTTACCTCTAATGGCATCTGGGGAGTTCATGGTGTCCTGAGTAAGAGCAAACACACGACCAGAGACAGTAGGATGTTGGGAAGGGTTCTTCATATTTGAGCCCTGGTTGTCCCCACAAAACTTTGCAATGTGACCGGGTTTCCCACAAATGTAACAGACCCAGCACTGTCCGAAATGACGACGCCCGCATTTAGTGCACTGTTGAGAGCTCGCTGTACTCGGGGCAGGGGTAGATACTGTTGGGCTCCTCTGTGACCCGTAATAACTACTATGATAGCTCCTCTGTCCTTGGCCCCTTTGAAATGGACCCTTCTGCCTTCCTTGGTTCCATGAGCTACTCGAACCCTGATGGTTTTTCTTCATAATGCCTCCGGTGGGTCGAGGGTAGGTTGGGGGTCTACTATATGAATAACCCCTCTTCTCTCTCTCAACCTCCTTCTTACTGCGAGCTACTACTTGTAGTTTTATGCACATTTCATCATAATCTCGGATATCTAGATGAGCCAATTGTTCCCTCAATTCTGGTCTAGCCTTCTCCAATAAGCGCTTAGCCTTCCATTCGGAATCATCCCTATACTGCAGGTACGTGGAGTATCTAGATAACTCCTGAAACTTAGCAATGAATGTGTCCTCATCGAGGTTCCCTTGCTTAAAGGCATGGAATTCCGCTTCCTTCTCAGACCTTAACTCTGATGGAAAGTAATGCCTAAATAATTTTTCCTTGAATTCCTCCCAGGTGAGTGTAGAATCATCCCTGGGCCCTGCTGTCTCCCACCAATCTCTTGCTCCTTTCACTAGGAGCACTAATGCTACTTGTACTTTTTGATTGCTGGTGCATGTGACTACTCGAAAGATGGATTCGAGTCTCTTCACCCATTCCTCTACCACGGATGGTTTAAGGTTACCATCAAACGTAGGAGGGTTAAACTTCCTAACAGTTTCCCACACATCAGTAATGGTCGGTGGGGCTCTCTGTTCCTCCTGCCTAATTTCTTTCCTTCTAGACTCATGATCTCTCAGAGTGGCAGGATGTGAGGAACTGCCTTCCCCCACATGACTCTCAACATGAGCCCTATCTCCATTTTCAGTTACCTTTTGCCTCTTTAGCTCCGTCAACTCTTGTTCGTATCCTTGAACCTTGTCTGTTAATGTTTTTACAAGCATTCTTAATTCCGCCAAGTCAGGCTCCTCATTTGGCAGTGGCGGTGGC